TAGAGTTAAAAAATCCAAGTATAAACTTTAAGGGGTAACACTCTGGGCTATACCCTTATATGTACAATTTTACATGATCTTTTATTATATTGTTTTAGGCTTTTTGCTCGAAAAACGTGCGCGTGAAGGAGCTGAGAGCCAAGCAAATAATGGATTTTTAAATATGACTATGTAAAATTAAGGCCGGTTTAGACGGTACGATTTTCGCCTACACCTATCGTATACAACAAGCTCGCGCCATGCTACAACTCGAGTCGCAGCGTGTAAATCAAGCCTACGACTCGCCTACGACAGACCCGAACGTGTTGTATACGATAGTTGTAGGCGAAAATCGTACCATCTAAGCCGGCCCTAAGGGGTTTATAATATCCTCAATGAAATTACTCGTTTCTGATTGAACAAGAGGAGAACAATTAAATCGTTAATTGTACTCTGTAGAATACACTATATAAAATAATTGCATTACCGCCCATTCCAATTGTATTGTCTTCGAAGAGGTTGGACGCGCAACTTTGTATGTTGGTGCAATCTCAGGCTCTATGGTAGAAAAACAAATAAATGATAAATGCGTTTTATAAYTAGTCGCAAGACAATGGATTCGGATGGTRTACATAGTATATACCACGAGTCACGCATTTGCTAGTATATATACGAGTCAGTTAAAGCGTTTACTAGTACGTTCACTCTTCACCAAGAAAATACAAAAGACGTTAGGGAATCCACAGTGTGTCACGAGAAAACATTGTATTATTATTTTAGGCCACACTGTTGAAAATTACTTAATTCTTCTAGACCATTTCAATTATGAAATTCAACATCGTACTGATATGAAGAAATTATGATATACCACCGAATAAACAATGGCTTTGCTGCATTCTGATTGGCTGTATTTAGTTTTGATATGGTGGAATGCGTGGAGGAAATGGGAAGATTATTTCTCCGAAGTCAAAGTTTCCGCTTATAAGAACCCAGACAATGCGTCTTTATGTCAAGCTCAAGTAGACCTATTACAATTTTTTGGGTGTCGTTGATATTTATGGGTGGCATGGGTGGCATGGGTGGGGTAGTGGTTTACCGCTCGCCTCTCCACCACTGTGGTCCGGGTTCGAGCCCTGCTGGCCCAGATTGGATCACATGTAAGTTGAGTTTGTTTGATGTGTTGTTCTCTCCYTTGCCACGTGGGTTTTCTCCAGGATCTCCGGTTTCCTCCCTCCGTAAAAAGCAACATGTGAGTTGAGTGTTGTATAATGTAAATATAGAATGTAGTGGTAGTGCGTGTGGAGGGAACCTCACGGAAGAGCCCCGTTTGGGGAGTGGTGGTTGTAAAGTA